ATACTATTTTCTTAAATGGAAGAAAAGATTGAAAAGTATCAATCCTTCCCAAATTGGGCAATAATTCGACTGTAATTCCAAATGGAATCCAGTGGTGAATTTACTTGAACTGGATAAAATGAAATGTTGATTTTGAAAAGTAATTATATGGGAATAGTCAAGTAAATCTTTAAAAAGAAAAATGAGAGGGTAGTTAATAAGCATTACCAAAAATCAAAACAGTATACCATTGGCAGAGAAATAAAGAATAGCAAAATGACAGAAAACAGTATTCAGAAATAGGTACAAATCTATGTGGGAGTATAATATATAACATCCATGGTATTTCAATACAGTGGCAAAAAAAAGTGTTTTAAAACCACATAGGCAAAGCTGGCTAGTCATTTTGAAGAAAACAATATTATATACTAACACATCACACTACAAGTAAACACAAATTCCAGTCACAATGAAAGATGAATGCTCTAAATTTAAAACAGAGTCAAAAATTAGATGATATTCAGAGTGAAAAATGTTTTGCAATACATATGATAAAGGATTGACATTTCTATTCACAAAGAACAATCACAAACTGTTAAGAAAAAGATCAACACTCAATTTAAAAAGGTAAGGAATATGAAAAGGTAATTCATCAAAAAGGATATGCAAATCACCAAAACAGGTTAAAATATACAAACCCCAATTATAGTGAGAAAACTGCAACAATTAGATGTTTTTTAGCTGCTAGACTGAAAAAAATTAAAAAGAGCACTAAAGGCTTCACCTGTTAGACTTAAAAAAGAAAAACAGCACTAAAGGCTGAGTGTGGTTTCAGCTCTTTTCTCCTTCTCTCTTCTCTCCTTCTTGTCACCCACAACAAGGCAAGTGGGGGCGTGTTCCAGCACTGTTTGTGTTACAGCTCTTTCACTCCCACCATTGAGTTTCTGTCCTGTGTCCAGGAAGAATAAGTTACATGGACAACTAGGGGGTGAGCAAGGCAAAGAGGTGCTTTATTGAGTGACTATACAGCACTCAGGAGATCCACAGTGGGTGGCTCCTTTCTGCAGGCAGGTCATTCTGATGAGTGCCCTGCTCAGCGGAGAGGTGGCCCATAGTGGGTATTCCTAGTCACAGGCAGGTCATCACATCAAGTGTGTAGCCCTCAGTGGAGAGGAGACCCAGAGTGGGTAGCTCCTATCTGCAGATAGGTCATCTCAACGAGTGTGCAGATCTCAGCAGAGAGGAGACCCAGAGTGGATAGCTCCTATCCACAGGCAGGTTGTCCTGATGTCTGTGCAGCCTTCAGCAAAAAGGGGACCCAGGGTGGGTAGCTCCTTTCCAATTTGAGAGCAAAGTTGAGGCCTAGCCTAGGCACTGTTAGAGGCTGTTTGTCCCATTGAGTCTGCAGTCCTGAATGGAGAAGAGACCTGTAATGGGTGGCTCCTATCTGCAGGCAGGTTGTTCTGATTTTTGCCTGAGTCTCGCTGAGTTCAGGGTTTTTATGGGCTTAGAAGGGAGAAAGTGCATACTGATTGGTCCATCGGTTGCCATGGGTGGGCCTGAGAAAAGCACAATAAGTTCTCACTCCAGTCCATGGACTCTACCCAGAACTCACAGCCTGGCCCCCATGCTTCAGGCAATTCCTGGCTTGAAGGTGGGGCTTCACCAGGGACCCAACACTTTCTGCCCAGGAGCCTGTCTGCCTCCTGCCACCATCAGTCATGTCCACAGCACCCAGGCTGTTAGTGCCAAGGGGTGCCTGCAGGCCTGCACCAAGTCACCCTCAGCCCCTCCCTCAGACTCCCTTCTGTGTTTGTCAGCACCCAAAGTCCAGAGGAGACCAAGGCAGCAGGGGACTGGTGTGTCAGCACTGCCCCAAGCACATGAACACCCAGCCAGGTTGCACCAGTGCCAGGTGCCCAGACTCAGCCTCAACTTTGCTCCAAAATTAGAGCAGGCACTAGGAATGGGGAGAGGCCAGGAAGCAGGAGTAGGCACTTCCAAGCCTGTTGAGGCAGAGGGGCTTCCCTGGCATCTGAGAGTGCAGGGATGCCTGGGTCTGTAGCCATGGCTGGGCAGCTTCAGCTGTGTCTGGGAGGGCGGGGCTCCCACCCTGCCAACTCAGAATGGGGTGGAGCTCCTGCCAGCTCCATGGACTGTGCAGCCCTGGCTGCACCTCCCCTGCTGCAGCTGGCCTCTTCACAGTGGCTACTCCATATAGGCTGCCACTGCCATCAGTAGCATAAGGGAAATCTGATAATGGAGTGTCCCAAAAGATTACATAGTACAGTATCATGAGTAGCAGCAGAAGATACTGGTATACACTAAGCACTCCACAAATGCTGTTACAGTTAAATCAGGGTATTTTGATTACCCATGCCCCCAGCCAGACAGAAAATAGCTATAAAACCTCTTCATTACACACACAAAAAAAACTTTCTCTCCTGATCCCTAATAAAGAAAGCTTTACCCTCACAAACCTAAGAATTACTGCTCTGGATAAAGACCATGAAAATTCATTTATTTTAAACCAGGCTTCAAAATGAACTCTACTACACTACCTGGAAAGTGAATCATGCAGAGACTGTGTCTACAATTGGTTCTTCAATGATAAAAATTTAATTTCAAACTTTTCTTTATGGTATGGGAGAGAGCACTGCTCAGACTCTATCTAATCGCCTGGCTCCTAGACTATAATGTTAGGAAGCTGAGATAGCTTAGGAAGATGGCAGATAGGATACAGGGTTAACATGCAGCTCCCACTTGCATAGCCAGAACAGCATGTGGAGATTCACACTGTGAACTCTTGCTCCAAGAACACCAAGGGAATGTACCAGGAAAACTGAAAGAATGCATTGATCCTTTGAAAGAAGTGGCATGCCACTGCAAATTCTGCATGACAGGTGAAAAACTGCAAGTTCCCAAAGTGTGAGAGGGGGAATACATGCCTCTGAATACACATCCCCACTGGGGAATGTGAAATCCAGATCACAGAAGAAAGAAGTAACCTTACCTAGAGCTGAAATGGATTTTGGGAACCACACAAAATATAGAAATAGAAGCAACAATGTAAAAAGCAATAAAAAAAGAAAAAAGAAATAGAAACAACAATTGGAAGAGCCTTGCAGGCCTTCCCACAGGGTGAAAGAAGCTTCCAACTGAAATTTGTAATAATTTTGACTCGGAATGAATTTTCTTGAGTAGAATACAGAGAGTAAATGGGGACTGCTGCACGTATAAGCACAGGAGCTGCTGATGACAGTGTGGGAAGATAAAAGAGGCAGGGCCTGAAATCTGTGCTTGCTTTGTCAACAAGGAAGCTTATGACCTGGGCAAGGTCTGAGTGGGACACTGCAGGAGCAAGACCAGCCTTGCCAACTGCGTGGGAGCGAAGTGACACATTTTGCTACCAGCTATGCTCTTGGGGAACTATATGACACAGCAGAGGCAGCCATAATCCCCTCTGGAACATAACCCCATTGGCCTGAGAACCACACCCAATCCCCCACAGTGGTCTCAGCAAGCCCTGCCCAAGGAGAGTCTGAGCACAGACCCACCTAACCCTGCCCCAACCTGAAGGTATTTCACTACCTGCCCTGGTAGCAGAACACAAAAGACAGAAACTCTTCCAAGCTTTATGGCCCCACCCATTGCCTAGGAAACCAGAATAGTTACCCTGGCCAATGTATAGCAAGCTTAAATCCCCTTACTACTACTGCAGCTGGTGCTGTCTTGAAAGCACCACCTTCTGGCTGGAGGTCAACAAACTCAGGCCATTACAGCAACTCATGACAGAATAACCCTGCTCCCCAAGAAGAAGGAAACAACAGGTAATTCCACTGCCTGCAACATGCTGCCTAACCAGAGGTCCTATGTCTCTCCATGTGACAACTGCTAGCATAACCATCATTCAAGAAAGCCAGCACATTAAACACAGCTACAACCAAGGACCCTCAAACAGTCTGGTTTACTCCCCTGCCACCTCTCCCAGAGCAGATGCTAGGATCCACAGCTGGGAGACCTGAAGATGGATCACATCACAGGACCCTTGAAGACATTCCCCAGAACCAGCCCAGAGCCTGGTAGCCCCACTTGGTGGCTAGACCCAGAAGAGAAATAACAATCACTGCAGTTTGGCTCACAGAAAGCCCCATCCCCAGAGGAAGGGGAAGAGCATCACATCCAGGGATCATGCCATTGGACAAAAGAATCTGAACAGCAGTCCTTGAGTCCCAGATCTTTCCTCTGACATAGTCTACGCAGGTGAGAAGGAACCAGAAAAACAATCCTGGTAATATGAAAAAACAGGGCTCTATAACACCCTGAAAAGATCACACTAGCTCCCCAGCAATGAATCCAAACCAAAAAGAATTCTCTGAATTGCCTGATAAAGAATCCAGGGAAATGATTATTAAGGTACTCAAGGTGATAGCAGAGAAAGGAAAAAACTAACTTAAAGTAAAAGGGCAATACATAGTATGGATTAAAAAATGCTTCAGAGAAATAGGTATCATAAAAAAAAAATCACAACTTCTGGAAATGAAAGACACACTTAGAGAAATACAAAATGCACTGGAAAGTTTCAACAATAGACTAGAACAAGCGGAAGAAAGAACTTTAGAGCTCAAAGAGAAGGCTTTTGAATTAACCCAATCAGACAAAGACAATGAAAAAAGAATTTGAGAAAAATGAACAAAGATTTCAAGAAATTTTAAATTATGTTAAACAGATAAACCTAAGAATAACTGGTGTTCCTAAGAAAGAAGAGAAATATAAAAGTTTGGAAAACTTATCTGAGGGACTAATTGAAGAAAACTTCCCTGGACTTGCTAGAGATCTAGACAACTAAATACTAGAAGCTCAAAGAACATTTGGGAAATTCATTGCAAAAACACCCTCACCTAGGCACATAAACATCAAGTTATCTATAATCAAGACACAGGAAAGAATCTTAAGAACTGTGAGATGAAAGCATTAGGTAAACTATACAGTAAAACCTATCAGATTAACAGGATTCTCAGCAGAAACCCTACAAGTCAGAAGAGACTAGGGTATAAAGAAAATATGGTACATTAGCCTCCTGAAACAAAATAATTGTCAGCCAAGAATTTTGTATCCAACAAAACTAAGCTTCATAAATGAAGGACAGGTAAAGTCTTTTGCAGACAAATAAGTGCTGAGAGAATTCCACTACCAAGCCAGCACTACAAGAAATGCTAAAATGAGTTCTAAATCTTGAAACAAAACCTTGAAATACACCAAAATAAAGCTTCCTTAAAGCATAAATCTCATAGGGTCTATAAAACAATAACATAATGGGAAAAAAACAAGTATTCAGGCAACAACTAGAATAAGGACTAGAACAGTACCCCACATCTCAATACTAATGTTGCAGGTAAATGGCCTAAATGCTCCATGTAAAAGATATAGAATGGCAGAATGGATAAAAATCCATCAAACTGGGAATGTAAGTTAGTTCAACCATTGTGGAAGATGATATGGCAATTCCACAAAGACCTAGAATCAGAAATACCATTTGGTCCAACAATACAATTACTGGGTATATACCCAAAGGAATATAAATTATACTATTACAAAGATATATGTATGCGTATGTTCATTGTAGCACTATTCACAATAGCAAAGACATGGAACCAACAAAAATGCCTATCAATGATAGACTGGATAAAGAAAATGTGATTCAGATACATTATGGCATGTGACGCAGCCATAAAAAGAAATGAGATCATGTCCTTTGCATGAACATGGTTGAAGCTGGAAGCCATTATCCTCAGCAAGCTAACACAGGAACAGAAAACCGAACACCATATGTTCGCACTTGTAAGTGGGACCTAAACAGTGAGAACACATGGAAGAGGGAGGGGAACAATACACAATGGGGCCTGTTGTGGGGGTGTGGGGTTGGGGGAGAAAGAGCATTAGGAAAAATAGCTAATGTATGCTAAGCTTAATACCTGGGTGATGGGTTGATAGGTGCAGCAAACCACCATAGCACATGTTTACCTATGTAACAAATATGCACATGTATCCCAGAACTTAAAATTTAATTTCATTTTTTAAAAAAATCCACCATCCAAATATTTGCTGTCTTCAAGAGATTCACCTAACACACAAGGACTCACATCAACTTAAGGTAAAGGGGTGAAAAAAAGATATTCCATGCAAATGGACACCAAAAGTGAACAGAAGTAGCTACTCTTCCACCAGATAAAACAGACTTAAAAGCAACAACAGTGACCCTTCTAGTCTTCTTTCCATACAACTTTTAAAAAAATAAATAAATAAAATAAAAAGACAAAGAGGGACATTATATAATGCTAAAAGGATCAGTCCAACAGGAAAATATCACAATCTTAAATATATATGTACCTAACACTGGAGCTTCCAAATTTATGAAACAATGAAATGAGATAGACGGCAACACAGTAATGGTGGGAAACTTCAATATTCCACTGAGAGCACTAGATAGGTCATCAAGACAGAAAGTCAACAAAGAAAAAATGAACTTAAACTATAACCTAGAACAAATGGATTTAGCAGATATTTACAGAACATTCTACCCAACAACTGTAGAATATACATTCTTTTTATCAGTGCATAGAATATGCACCAAGACTGACCATATGATATGTCACGTCTCAATAAATTTTTTAAAAATTGAAATTATACCAAGTATCCTCTCAGAGCACAGTGAATAAAACTAGAAATTAACCCTCAAAACTATACAAATGCATGGAAATTAAATAATCTGCTCTTAAATGATCTTTGGGTCAACAATAAAATCAAGGTGGAAATTTTAAAAATCTTTGAACTGAATGATAACAATGACTCAACTTATCAAGACCTATTGGATACAGCTAAAGCAGTACTAAGAGGAAAGTTCATGGCATCATATGCCTACATGAAAAATTCTGAAAGAGCACAAATAGACAATCTAAGGTGACACTTCAAGACACTAGAGAAACAAGATCAAACAAACCCAAACCAAGCAGAAGAAAAGAAATAAAGGTCAGAGCAGAACTACATGAAATTGACACAACAACAAAAAAAAAAAAATACAAAAGATAAAAGAAACAAAAACCTGGCTCTTTGAAAAGATAAACAAAATTGATATACCATTAGTGAGATTAACCAAGAAAAGAAGAGAGAAGATCCAAATAAGCTCAATTAGAAATAGAATGGGAGATATTATAACCAATACCACAGAAATGCAAAAGATCATTCAAGGCTACCATGAACACCTTTATGTACACAAACTAGAAAATCTACAGGAGATGAATAAATTCCTGGAAGTCTACAACCCTCCTAGATTAAATCAGAAAGAAATAGAAACTCTGAACAGACCAATAACAAGTAGTGAAACTGAAATGGTAATTTAAAAATTGCCAATTAAAATAAAAGTCCAGGACAAGATGGATTCACAGCTGAATTCTATCAAACATTCAAAGAATTGGTAGCAATCCTACTGACACTATTCCACAAGATAAAGAAAGAGAGAACCCTCCGTAAATCATTATATGAAGCCAGTATCACCCTGATACCAAAACTAGAGAAGTACATAACAAAAACAGAAAACTGCAGACAAATATCCCTGATTAACATAGATGCAAAAATCCTCAAAAAAAATACTAGCTAACCAAATCCAACAGCATATCAAAAAGATAATATGCCATGATCAGGTGGATTTCATACCAGGGATGCAGGATGGTTTAACATATACAAGTCAATAAATGTGATACATCACATAAACAGAATTTAAAACAAAAATCATATGATCGGCCGGGCGCGCTGGCTCACACCTGTAATCCCAGCACTTTGGGAGGCCAAGGCGGGTGGATCACGAGGTCAAGAGATCGAGACCATCCTGGTCAACATGGTGAAACCCCGTCTCTACTAAAAATACAAAAAAATCAGCTGGGCATGGTGGCGCATGCCTGTAATCCCAGCTACTCAGGAGGCTGAGGCAGGAGAATTGCCTGAACCCAGGAGGCGGAGGTTGCGGTGAGCCAAGATTGTGCCATTGCACTCCAGCCTGGGCAACAAGAGCGAAACTCTGTCTCAAAAAAAAAAAAATCATATGATCATCTCAATAGATACAGAAAAAGGATTTGAGGAAATCTAGCATCCCTCTATGATTAAAACACCCTCAGCAAAATTAACATAGAAGGGATATACCTCAATGTAATAAAAGCCATCTATGAAAAACTCACAATGAACACCATACTGAACAGGGAAATGTTGAAAACTTCCCCCTGAGAATTGGAACAACACAAGGATGCCCACTTTCGGCATTTCCTTTCAACATAGCACTAGAAGTCCTAGCCAGAGTAATCAGACAAGAGAAACAAATAAAGGGCATCCAAATCACTAAAGAGGAAGTCAAAATTTTGCTGGTTCCTCATGATATGGTCGCATACCTAGAAAACCCTAAAGAATCATCTGAAAAGCTCCTACATCTGAAAAATGAATTGAATAAAGTTTCAGGATACAAAATTAATGCATGCAAATCAGTAGTGCTACTATATACAATGACCAATCTCAGAATCAAATGAAAAACTGAATCCCTTTTACAACAGAAAAAAAAAAAAAAAACCCTTAGGATTACACCAAATCGAGGAGGTAAAAGATCTCTACAAGGAAAACTACAAAACACTGCTGGAATATTGTGAAGATAACCACACTGTCAAAAGCAATCTACAAATTCATTGCAATTCCCATCATCATTCTTCACAAAACTAGAAAAAAAAAATCTTAAAATTCATATGGAACCAAAAAAGAGCCCGCATAGCCAAAGCAAGACTAAGCAAAAAGAACAAATCTGGAGGCATCACACTGACTGACTTCAAACTATACTTCAAGGCTATAGCTACCAAAACAGTATGGTATTGGTATAAAAATGGGCACATAGATCAATGGAACAGAATAGAGAACCCAGAAATAAAGTCAGATGCTTACAGCCAACTTATCTTTAACAAAGCAAATAAAAACATAAAGTGGGGAAAGGATACCCCATTCAACAAATGATGCTGGGATAATTGGAAAGCCACATGTAGAAGAATGAAACTGGATCCTCATCTGTCACCTTAAACAAAAATCAACTCAAGATGAATCAAAGACTTAAATCTAAGATCTAAAACCATAAAAATTCTAGAAGATAATGTTGGAAAAACTCTTCTTGACATTGGCTTAGGCAAAGACCTTATGACCAAGAACCCAAAGGCAAATGCAACCAAAACAAAAATAAATAGATGGGACCTAATTAAAGTAAAAAGCTCTGCACAGCAAAAGAAAAAAATCAGCAAAATAAACAGGCAACCTTCAGAGTGGGAGAAAATCTTCACAAACTATGTATCCAACAAATGACTAATATCCAGAATCTACAAGGAACTAAAACAAATCAGCAAGAAAAAAAACAAATAATTCCATCAAAAGATGCCCAAAAGACATTAATAGACAATTCTCAAAAGAAGCTATACAAATGGCCAATAAGCATATGAAAAAATGCTCAACATGACTAATTATCAGGGAAATGTAAATCAAAAGTACAATGCAATATCACCTTATTCCTGTCAGAATGGCCATAATGTAGAAATCAAAAAAATAACAGATGTTGGTGTGGATGTGGTAAAAAGGGAACACTTTTACACTGCTAGTGGAAATGTAAACTAGTACAACCACTATGGAAAACTGTGGAGATTCCTTAAAGAACTAAAAGCAGAACTACCATTTGATCCAGTAATCCCACTACTGGCTATCTACCCAGAAGAAAAGAAGTCGTTATTTGAAAAAGACACTTGCACTTGCATGTTTATAGCAGCACAACTTGCAATTGCAAAAATACAGAACCAGGCTAAATGCCCATCAACCAACGAGTAGATGAAGAAAATGTGATAGATAGATGATAGACAGATAGATAGATAGATACACACACACACAGGCATGCACACACACACATCCCCCCCATGGAATACTACTCAGCCATAAAAAGGAAAGAAATAATGCCATTCACAGCAACCCGGATGGAGTTAACGACCATTATTCTAAGTGAAGTAACTCAGGAATGGAAAAACCAAACATCATATGTTCACACTGATAAATGGAAGCTAAGCTATGAAAATGCAAAGGCTTAAGAATAATACAATGGACTTTGGAGACTCGGGGAAAGGTTGGAGGGGGATGAGGGATAAAAGATGACACACTGGTTACAATGTACATTGCTCTGGTGATGGGTGCACCAAAATCTCAAAAATCACCACTAAAGATGGGTGCAGTGGTTCATGTCTGTAATCCCAGCACTTTGGGAGACCAAGGTGGGTGGATCACTTGAGATCAGGAGTTCAAGACTAGCCTGGCCAACATGGTGAAACCCCATCTCCAATAAAAATTTAAAAATTAGCTGGATGTGGTGGCACACACTTGTAATCCCAGCTACTCGGGAGGGTGAGACAGGAGAATCACTTGAACTCGGGAGGCAGAAGTTTCAGTGAGCCAAGATCATACCATTGCACTCTGGCCTGGTTGACAAGAGTGAAACTCTGTCTCAAAAAAAAAGAAAGAAGAGTGGGAAGACAGGGAAGAGAGGAGAGGGAAGGGAAGGTGAGGGGAGGAGAGGGGAGAGGAGGAGAGGGGAAGGGGAGGTGAGGGGGTGAGGGGAGGAGAGGGTAAGGGAGGGGGGAGGGGAGAGGAGAGGGGCAAGGGGAGGGGAGGGGGAGGGGAGGGGACGGGGGTGAGGGGAGAGGAGGGGGGGAGCTGAGAGGGTGAGGGGAGGAGAGGGGAAGGGAGGGGGAGTGGAGAGGAGGAGGGCAAGGGG